GGAAAGTCTTGTTGGGGAATGCTATATATTTCCTACTTCCGGTTAAAATTAGTTAGAGGGTGGACCCTACCCTAGTAATAGTATACACTAGAGGTCTATTACTGCGCGAAAGTAGGGAAGTGTCAGTGTGTCTGAAAATTTTTGAATAAATGCGGATAATTCGCTTAACATAGAATTGCGCAATGCGCTCATAGGATCATTCACCGAAATAGTGGCCGTCTTAGCCACGGCTAATCTCCACTGATTGAGCAAAGAACTGATGTTCTACCTCCAACAGGGAAAGGGACTCGACGCGACCCATTCATCGGCGGCTCCCTTGACATCCTACGGTTGTTGGATTTTCTCTGTGTGTGAGCCTGTAGGCCTCTGAAACATGGTAGTTGCAAAGGAGTGGGGGAGATGAACATGTTAGAGACGGCTAGGTGATGCTCAGCCTTTCCTGCTCCTCGGCTTCGACCAAAAGCGATCTCCGGAAATCGTCCATCACAATGTGAAACTTCTCGCATAACAGATGGAAATGAAGACTCAAGGCACCATTTTTACCCGTTCTTAGGGAATGTCTTTGTTTTCAAAACAGTACCTTAACAAAGGACTTCATAGCATACGCACCCACTGGAGCGAAGAAGAAGAATGAAGTCATTTATATGGAAGACGTTCAGTTCTCCTTCTGGGGTCAGGTTACCGAGAGCTGTGCTACCGTTGAAACCTGATTGATAAGGTTGGGTTCATGCTCTTAGTTCTAAGCTTGCTTTGAGCAAGTGAGTGGCGCCTCAGTTTTAGGTGACCTGACCCTGAGGAGGAGAACTAAACCATTTCCAGGATGTGTGGAGGCCTCGCTTTGGAAAAAGGCTTCGTGAATGGTAGCCATTACTATCTCCTTTCGGTACTTTCATATGATAATCACCTCATACACTGAGCAATAATGAAGTTCTCACAACTTGTCATTTCTTCCGAGGTTCTGGCATCCATCATCTCTCGCTTGATGCTCGTTTTCGGGGAGCGAAGCCGGGTATACGCAAGGGCTGGCTGTTCAGATGCGATATCCTCCCAGAATTTTGTGGATGGTGAAATGGGAAGTACATAGGAATCCTCCTATTTTCCTTAGATTCAAGCAATGCTGCTTTGAGCGGAGGCTGATCATTGTGGCTTTTGGAGAAGAGAAGACGCTCCAAAGCTTCATCGGGGCTAATTTCTCCATTAGAGGAGCGAGTCACCACCTATAGCAAGTTGCTGTGGAGGACGCACTGTTGCCATCGACAGGCATAGTTCCTTCTGGGCTGGATTGGCAGAGCGTCCAGAACGGTCATAATCATGGGGTTGGTAGTCACGTGGGTGCAGTAGCCCGATCAAGGCTATTTTTTTCGCCTGTTGAAGTAAATTGCCGTTTGGTTATAGACGCGGTCCTTCACTGCTTCCTATCAGCTGCCATTTGCTTTACGGATTTGCGTTGACGCAACTTACATGCTTTCAAGGATAAAAAATAAGTGCGGAATTTTCTCAAAAATTTACGGTGAAACTCCAGTTCGGGGGGGGGCACTCCATTTTTTCTCCAATACTCAAGATAAGGATTAGAGGGCTCACGACACGTAATCGACTCATTTAAAGTAGACTTCTGATAAATATTGGTGTAATGGGTGAGAAACCCTGAAACGTTTTCACATTTCCGCCTGCCATGACCCAAGGGAACGGTCCTGGACCAGGAGAAAGGACACCTCCGCAAAGGGCTAAGGGTGCAGGAGCTCCAGGGTGGATCACCTGTGCAGAAAGTGGATGGGATGTGGGCAGGTAGTGTGGAATGTAGGACATCCACCGGTCCTTATCAAAAGTACGCTCGAAATGAGTCGTTCACTTATTATCTTATCCGTAGTGTTCGATAGCCCAAAGAACTGCTCTCTAGTACTACGGATAAGATAGCAATGGAGTGGCCCCCCCGAACTGGAGTTTCACCCGGCACCCTAATAAGGCTATAATTGTACTTAGCAAATTCGTTCACTGAAAAAGGAAACCCATCTCGTCCGTTGGTTTTGGGTTTATTAACGTATATCTAGAGTGGATCCCTGCCGGAATTCGCTTCTTGTTTGCCAGCAGGGTGCACTTTTTCAAGGTCCTTTTTTTATAGCCCTCGAATTCATTTGCTCCAGAGTTTTTGTTAGTGTGTACCTTACGCAGCACGATGTCCTTGATGGTAACCGCAAACATCCTTCCTATCTTCCCGATATTTGTAGTATTTCCTGACTGACAATGGATTCCAGTACAACCCTTTTGCCTATCGCCTACTGCTTTCATGCAGGCGATTTGCACGGTTTTATTATGTTTTTCGTCGTGAAGGAAATTTTAACCCTTAGCGACCCCTTTCATATATGATAAGGTTAGGCCGATGATAGACTTCGCGAATTGAGCGATTCGCTAGCGTTCGCGGTCACGTCGCGGCGAGCGAATTGTTCGATTTGCTAAGACTGACGTCGGCCATAGCACAGCAATCTGTAAGGGTATAGTAAGAGCGCAGCAACTGTACGATCTGCGGTAAGAACCACCTCTTCTTACGTATTCCCTTTGTACTTGTCAGCATCAGCGCAGTGATCCATCGGAACATATCATAGATGATATAAACTCCTCAATTCTGTCATCGAGTATGCTGCCATCGAGGGTTCTTTATCACATGGTGACAGCGTGACGCGCATGCGCGTCAGATCTTTGCGTGAATGGTCTTGTTTTGCTTGATTACTTGGCATTTTTATGTTAGAAAGTAGTATATCTAACATAATTGGATCCAGAAAATCTTATCTATTGCCAGTAGCGAAATTTTTGGAAGAGTAGTGCTGGTTTTTAAGGGACCTCAAAAAAGACCGGAGGAACACGCGCAACGAGGTGTCGTCAATGTGTCAAAAAACAAAATTAGCCATAGTTACGGTGCTTAAAGGCCTATTTATCTACGATGTTGAGAGTCTACCTTTACTCGTCAGCCGCGGTGGATAACCTTCGCTGTGAGGACGCCACACATTTAGCCCTGATAACAATGCATGTGTTAAGCGGTCAATTCACTGTGTGTCGCGGTGAAGGCATTGAATCCTATCCGATCCTTCATTGAATGAAAATTTGCCCGTGGCAGCTGCACCCCAATATAAAAACGGGTGACGAGAAGTTTTTTGCCAGTGTCTCTAATGAGGATTGCTACAGAAGTGGGTTATGAGCAGAACACTCTGGAATGGCCCTAACCTGAAAAAGATTGAAGCAGGCCCTGCGATTTCGAGCCATTGGCGACATCCCTTTGTAATTCGGCATCTTTTTGTTTATTCTTTTTACAAACCTCATAACTCCTTCACAAACTACTTCACTCTACTAGTAATTGCAGGATAAGATAATGTGTACGTACAGTTTTGGAGTATAAGAAATGCCAACTAAATCGAACAAATTGAGCTTGATCCGCGCGAAAATATGACGCGCATGCGCGTCATGCTCCCGCCAGTATTCTAATTTCGTAGTTCCAGCGTAGATCAACTACACGCGAGTAATTTCTGTGGTTAGAATCTGGAGGGTTGTAAAGAATGTTATTAGTCTCTCCATGCTTCCTCCCGTTGTTTCTTTATGCTCGAACTTGTCCGTGTGAGATTGTGTGGAACCTGATGGACAGCATTTTAATGTTTTTCACATTCTTGAGAAGTTTTCATGTCTATCGACTGGCATCACACTCACACCGACAGCTTTCAAGTGAAGTAGTTTAATGTGCAGCGGTGCTGCTTGAAATGCTGGCCGCATTACAACGTGAAATAGACGGAATTCCGACGTGAAGGAGGAGAAAAAAAAACGGAATGCTGATTAAGTGTACAATCAGTACAATAGCGGGCTTGCGCCGCGGCCGTTCGCGTAATGGCGGCCATAAATGCTAGCCAGACCGCAAACAGGCTTGCACGCAATTCGATTACATTCACACTCTAACTCACTCACTCCCTGACTGAAATGAGTCCGACATCCGCTTGATGATTGTCCTCTTCAATTCGTTGGTGGTCATTGATTGGCCGTCATTCTAGTCATAAATTTCGTTCAATTCAATAAAGATAGAAGAACGGTCGTGCACCAGCTCGGCCTTGTCGTTTCAGCCTTGAGACTGAGGCACGTTTTCTAAGCCAATTTCATCTAACGAATGCGCGTTGGCTTTCATTCAAGAACGTCTCATATTGCCCTCTCCTCCCATCTCAGTGGTTTTTATAACGATTTTTTCAACCAGTTCTTTTTATCCACTACACTGTCCGTGCCGAAATCTCGAGCTCTATATCAGATTTCGACTTCTAATAAACTTCCTGGTACATTTACCGCCGAAATCCTCATCTGGCTTTGTGTGGTTACAACGTTTTTGTCGAGAAAGGGTGAGAGTGAAGCTAGAAGAGCACACGCTCTGCGTGGTAGTAAGGTCAAGCTTTTAAAGGAATAAAGAAAGTGGGATACGTTCATTTCTCCTCTTGGGGTCAGGTCACCACAGCTGCGCGATCATTGAAGCCTAAGGTTAAGCTTGGGTTAGACTTAGGTTAAGGCTTATGCTTACACATTGGCTTATGCCTAAGCCTATGATTGGGCCTAGGCTTAGTCCTAAGCTTGCTTCGAGCAAATAACTAGGTCTCAATTTCAGGTGACCTGACCTGAGAAGGAGAACTGCAACTCAACTAAAAGAAAGTAGCGGTGCTGTAATACTATGCATTTGTGAGAGGTCCCAGACAACACTACGAAACGCTGACTTACCAAGCCTCAAGGCTGACAGAAATCCTGAGACCGCGTTGCACAGCTCCGAAAATCACTTGCAAAAGTAGGTGGTCAGTACTCCAAAAGGCCTTTGGTGCCCAAAGATGCCAAAACGTCTTGTCAAAGGATTCTGAGCTCCTTTGGCAGCGCTTTTTACTAGTGGATTCGAAACAAGGATTACTAGCAGCGTTAAGCCTCACAGCGCATAATTAAAAGGTCGTTTCAAAATGGTTGCCGTCATGTGGACGCACTAGAATCCAGTATGCATGGCACTAGGTTCCTCCAAACGGGGTGGCGCACCCAATTGTCTGCCTTCGATCAAACATCGTCATTTTTGCTTCCAGCTTGTCATTTTCTTCACCCGGATGCCTCAGGTCTTCCTTATAATTCATATATTTAAGGCAGTAAGACCACATCTACGTGCATTGGAAATCGCTCACTGCCTTCTCCTGCTCAGGAACACAGCCTGTCAACTGAAAAGGGCATGCGCAATATTGATAGAGGTACAGCTGCTATCAACATAAAGCATTTTTTTATATTCATGTGAAGGATAACACGTTTCCGTTGGCGGCGACCAACTGGGACGGCTATTTTCGTGAGAATACTCAAAGTGTTTTGCAGCTATAGAGTTGTCCAGCGCTGTTGCACAAGACGTTGATGACGATCGTTCAACGAAAACCGGTGACTGGAGTACCAAAGACTGGGGAGATGCTACAGGTTGTCGATTGTGCTTGATTATGTTCTTTGATCACTAAGCAATATAATTCAAATTTATACGGAATCTGAATGTATGCTTTCAAGTCAGTACTGTCCTACTGAAAACTTAGTGTGGTATGGGCTATAGACGGGCGTTTCTCCATAATATGTCGCCGTGGGTCACGGCGCGCCACAGACGCGATTACCGCACGCCGCAGCTCCTTTCGCTTTTCAAACACTAGACCGAAGGACGCGCTACTTGGCTAGCCGCACGCAATAATGCTCTTGTGCGGCTGATATATCCGTCACAAAGAACAGATCCGTACTGCCAGCGACCATTTCTGAATCCTCCATAAGATGAATCCAGACTCGGCGATAGTGCAATCGCGACAGCGCGCCCATCGTGAACCATGCGGATCAGTAACACCACAGCATAAAGCCACAACACTGTCGCGATTGTACCCTCGCCGAGTTTGACCTAAGCCTAAACGCTTTAAAAGGTTGTGTGTAGGTGACTTTTTTGGATGCTTTATGGCTACTAGTTAAAGTGTTGAGCACAAAGTTAGAGGGCTCGTTCTTCTAGGCGAACCACCGTCTTGACATCAGGGCAGGGTCAACCCTACGTTGTTACGAGTAACAACGGGGGGTCGTACCTGGTTGAGTTTGTAGGAGGGGGGTCGTACCCACTTTAGTCGCTCGAAATCACGTGTGGGATTGAGGTGAAACTAAGATTTCGTGGGTAGTAGGCTGGGCGAGTGGAGGGCGCGCAGGATAAAAATTTGCCGTTTCAGCGGGCGTATATACCCCCCCGCTCGACGGCATTTTTGGAGGAAAAGTGGGGCGGGGTTTTGATGGAAGATGGAGATGGTGGAGGTAGGGAAAAGGGGGTCGTATCAAATCCACCTTGGGGGAGGGGGGTCGTAAAAATTTTCGAAAAGTAACAACGATAGGACAGACCCTGCGTCAGGTACGAGATTGCGCTGACCAAACGTAACACGAGCAGCGTTGTCCATCTTGGTAGTAGTCCGAAAAAACCTGTCCACCACATGCAAAGGAGACCTGCCATGCCCCTAGCAAAATTGAAAAGACGAAGTACTTAATAGTAGCACGTAGCTTGCGATGCAACCTAGCGGGAGTAATTGCATGTACCCAAGAACTCTCCTGGGACACGGCGGAGTCGACCTGACCCGCCTAGAGTAATGACCCATCTATCCAGCAAATGTTCTTGAGTATTTTTTCAAATCAGGATTTCGCTTGCTGTCAAACAATGAGCGATTCCATGACGGCTTCCGTTTTACGACGATAAAGCGGGCAAGAAGGGAGGCTCGCAGGTCGATAAAAATGAAAAATTATTGAATCTTTAATAGTCTACTTTAGCACGCACCCTAATTTATTTCCATCCTCTGTCTAGGGTGGTGAATGAGATTGGAAAGAAGAGGGCGCTCTGGGCTGGTTTTTGACTTCCTTTTTTTTGTTTTCCTGATCAAATGCTTCTACAAACTTTTTTCTTCTAAACTAGAGATGCTGAACTAACTGTAGCTGACCCCCTAAGAATTTCTTCTAAGCTCTTTGTAATTGTGCGGCACTAAGAGTCAGTGGATACTCTAGAACAGCTTACAGGTGGTAAATAAAAGAGTTACTCTTGCTCTTAAATCCATGCCGGATCCACGTGGCCGTGTATTGAAGAACACCTTTCATTCTAACAGAAAACTTTATGATAGCCTTCTACACTGACAACACCAGAAAATTCTCCGAGTTAACATGGTGCAGAGGTCGAGCTCAATGAGGTTTGAGATCGTGGACCACTTCGACATTATCCCGAACGCCGGTCGGCAGGGATCTTGTACAGTCGGAGCAATGCCTTTATGGAGCTATACAACATTGAATCGATTCAGGAAATTGTGTAAGAGCTTCAAGAGCGATTACGGTAGACCTCCTTGAGCTCGACGGTGATGGCAGATGACGTCATATTCTGAAGACGGTGAGGGCAGTGAAGGAGGGCCTGCTTCTGCTTATGGGGGACATCTAAGGAATATTTTGCCGTGAAACTTTCCATCAACAACGGCATCCTTGCGACGAAAAGTTTGATGATGTGCGCCATGGGCGAAATGACTCTTTTTCGCCATCCCCCCCCCCATCCCTATAAATGTCGATCTAGCTTAGCGAAACATGTCAACATGCCCTGACAAAGTAACGTGTTGCACCAGTGATTTTAGTTACCAGTTCTTGTAGCTTGTCTTTATGGAATAGGTATAAAAATGGTTGTCCTTGAATAAAGTTCTTAGCAGTAAATGTTTTTATTGCTAATTTGAAGCAACTTGCAATGAAGAGGAAACCGAAGAATGTGTAATAGCAATGGCGGCATGCTTTGATGCCGTCATCGCTAATCAGCCATACCTAGGGGAATTTATTCCGAATGTCTGAAGGAAGGCATCCAAAATAAATAATCCTAGGTATGACGTTTGAGGAAAAATTGTCAAGTGAAATATTTCAATAAAATTTTAGAGCTTCTATGCACATCATCATGGGCAAGGGAATGAGAGAGTAGTAGCATATAAATCATCCATGGAATGACTCCAATTCAATCTAACGGTTTTGCGCAATAATTCATATCCCAGCATTGATTTTATATCGATGGCCCTATATCGTAAGACTCAAAACTAGTTTCGCCTCTCTGTTTGAAGTGAGAGCAATTTTGCATTTGTTTAAGCATCGCTGTACTGCTTAGGAAACAAAAGTGTTTCACTCATGGCTGTATTTCACTCTACCTTTTGCTTCGGCTTACTTTAGTGTTCCCAACAAGCCGTTCCTGTGAAAAAAAAGCTCGGGGTCCGGGTTCTTCATTTGTTTAGTGACTGTAATTCTGACCTCATCCGGGTTTTCTTACCCTCTAGAATCTCTAAGAAAGGTGGAGAACCCTACCTTCGGCAGATTCCCATGGCTTATAAAAACGTCTCTAACGGAATAATTCATAAAGAGCAAGGGGGATCTAAGGAAGATTTCCTTCTTTTTCCTCGAGAAGAAGGACAGAAGAAGTCCTCTGTAAAAGTGTGGACGTTAAAGATGGGTTATATCATGATTAGGATTTTTTTTGCCGATATTTTCACCCATATTCAAGATTCCAAGGCGGAAGTGGTGTAGTGACAAGTGGCACGCTTACCACGCGAGCGGTCCGGGGATCAAATCCTGGGTCGTGAGTCGCCCGGGCCAACCAAGCCTTCCATCCCTCCGGGGTCGGTTAATTGGTACCAGACTTGTCTGGGAGGATAAAAACACTGACTTGTACATCGGCTGGCCCCGCAAGTCATTGTATAGGCCACATCGCATTCAAACGCCACTACGAATGTACAAATGGAAGTAGAATGCGTGCCGCATCCCAAAAAGGGATTGATCAACGGCAAATTTTTTAAGCTTTAAAAGTATTTTTTGAAGCTTTTCAAGGTTCCATCATGCCTTTCTTCCATCTTTCACGGCGAATCCCATCATCCTTCCCCCTGACTAAAGTTCGGTCAAAGATCACTTCAAACTCAGCAGTTGGGGGTCAGATTTTCAGGAGGCGACCCCATAGTCAGTTTTTAGTGCAACTTAGCTGTCGTCTGATTTAGGGATCATAGAAATTGCATGGCATCAATCTATGCTTCGTTTCTTTACCCTTCAGAGAACTAGTATAGCGCTGGAATTACTCCGATCCCTTTCGTTTTTGAGTCTTCTTCGGCCGTATTGCGAAATTGTCAAATTTATTTTCGCTCCTTATTTATGTCAGCGCGACCTTTTTTCCCATGGTTCCGCCATTTATCTCCGCATCTTCGGTGAGATGCCGTCAGCGATGATTGAAGCAGTCCCACATGGCGCTTTCATTGGCTTGTTATGTGCTCCGCAACGGATGTTTCGGCTCAATTATCCTGTTCGCGACGTCTTCCAAGGTTATCACATTGGGCTAAAATGAATCTCCAAAAGTTCAGGAAGTCACTTGGGCACGAAGTAAATGCCACAATAAAAGAACACTGCGCCTAATGAAGTGTTGGTAGGGCCAGACTCATCAATGCGGATACGGTACGCATTCTATGTAGATGAAAATCCCAACACTTCCAGTGTTAACCCTTTTTTCAGCTTAATCTTGGGACTTGCACAAAGCATCTGGAGTCGAAGGGAGGGGGATGCCGCTGTCGGCGCAGCCGCTAATTGTGCGCCTGATGATTATTCAACTCATTACGACGACGTTTTCGATAGTGCGGAATTTCCGGAACTTCACAAAACATCTTTATGATGAAATTCCGAATAGAAGCCGCGCCCACTTACAGCGAATTACATCAACACTGGTTCATGAATTTTTTAGAAACATAAAAAAACGGATCTATGAAATTTCTGGGCTTAGTTTGATGAAAAATCGATTCGATTAAAATATATAAAAAAAAGCCTGAGCATTGTCACGTAACTTGCAAGTATAGCACCAAACAAAGTCGGACCACCAAATCATTAAAGAATACTTGTACATTAGTGCTGAGTAACAAAAAAGCATGAATGTGACCTACGAGGCCTTCCTTATCGATAGGAGTTTAGGATCAGATGGTTCATCTGAAGTCGAATCGCCTCCATCGGATATTCCTACCTCATCGTCATCACTCTTCAATCATCCGAAAATCTACTGCGATTTTGTAAAGGTAATTAAAATAAATGAATAACGATAAATTACCGTTGTAAGGCCTAAATGCCGTTCTTCTGTCCAGATACTCGGGCCATAATTCTAGTATGTTGTTATTGATCGAGAGCTGTAAATTGGAATTTCAGGCTATTGAGGAGCACGCAATAACTGAACGACCAGACCTGGAGACGCAGCTGAAAATAATGCAATGGCTAGTTGGCAGCTCTGTGAGTGCGATAACTATTTCTATCCATTACTGCTGTGCCTAATTACCCGATGTTTCCCCCCACATGCATGGCTGTGCTGTTTGTGTGTGTTACGTGGTTGTGTGTGTGTCATAGGTGAGGCTAAAGTGCTTACGTTTAGGTCTCTTGAAACGCTTTCGCTAGCCTTCATAGCCTAATGGCTTATGTAGAGAATTTCGCACTTTGTGAAAAACTGTTTGCTGGAATCTTAAGCGTCTTCCTCGTCGTCGTTCTCATTTCGTACCACTCTCTATCCCACATACATTCGACAAAGTGTAATGGAAGATCCAGGCACAGGCGCGTCTTCAGTGAGGCATCAAAGTTACAAAACAAGGAATTCGGCGCGTCAGGAACGATCGGAATCTGTTTCGGGAAACAACAGGTGTCTTCACGGGATCAACGATGCTGGTAATGACAAAGGCTTCCCGTCCTGCAAATGACTGAGCTTCGCTAGTTGTCAACGAGTGTGTGGTGAACAGAGGAACTAACGTTGACAAGGTAAACGATGAACATTTGAGCAGATGTCCCTTTGCCCAGGATATTATCGCGTTTGCTTAAGTGCATTACTTGGCGGAGTTGAGGCCGGTCTTTGTCTCGCTAGCATCCCTGGAGGCGCGGTAATGCTGCCGAATCTAACCCCTTCCCCGCTCACTCACCCTTCCTCCCTCCCCTCTTTTCCATTTATGGCCCAGCCCAGATCTCCACACCGCGTCCACTATTTTTCAGTGGTTCCTTTCAAACCTATTACGTTTCGGACAAACACAGACGGCTAGCACTTTCTCATAGATCATTTCGTCTACCTGCACACACACACACTCACATTACGACATCGATGTCTGTATTCATCTGGGCATATACGTGTTTACCTATCGATGTCTGCACGTATACACATACATATGTACGCATATAAGTGTATACTTATGTGCTAGACCTGCCATAATAAACTACTTGTCGTTTTCGGACCCGTAGGCTTCCCAATACTAACATAATTAGCATGAGCTGGCAGCGTGCCCCTTTTTGTTCGTTCATTGCCATAAATGTCGGCCAGTAACAGCTTCTCCTTTCGCTTTCGGTTTTTCTCCGTTCCTGAGCGAGTAGGTCTAACTAGAAATGCCGAAGTGATGAAAAGCATCTTGATCGTTGTCAAATTCGCTTAAATAACTTATTACCGCTTAAATTATACGGAATATCAGGGTTAACGGATGATTTCTGTGCTGGTTGTTCAGCCTCAGGAAGAAAGGAGCGCAAGGGTGTGGCCAGGAGTGTATGTGTGTGTGTGTGAGGCATAGGAGAAACGGCCGAGAGGACAGTTGCTGCTACTGACTGCAGGTATCTCCTCACCCTTGGCGTCGTACATCCGGCAGCACATTCACATTTATTCTCCTATTGCGCCATATCTGCAATTGCTTCCGAAGTTCTTAGCTGATTATTCGTGGAATGATCACGAATCAATCGACGACACCGACGACAGCGTTTTCTGGCAGTACCGCGTCCCGAAATCATTCTTCATTGACTGTCAACTCATCGAATAATAGCCAAATCGATGTGTTCTCAGGTGATCAGCAATATGCCTGTATTGCTAGGAACACCGCTAACGCTATCACATTCCGTGAATCCTACAAACCGAACAGGTATCACTACCAATAACTCATTGGCTTTGTTTACCGACCTACTGTTGATCTTCGGCTTTAGTGACGAACTCTTTGATATAGTGAAAGGAATACAAAAATTTGTCGGCTGTGTATCAAATAAAACAACATTTTCGAGCCTTATTAAGTAGGTGTGTCGAAGTGCATGGCTTATTATCCATGCCCCCAAAAATGCCGTCCGTGGCTGTGGACTGAAGTGCAGTGCTGCAAATTTGACAATTTCTCGATTAAGCTGCTCTCGGAGAGGAAATTAAGTGCTTAACTGGAACGCTGACGATTTTCGTCATCGAATTGGGTTGATTACGAATTTATGCGCTTCTTGCTCTGTAAACAGATCGATACGCATTTGTTCTTCAACGAAACAATAGCAATGAAATTTATGTGAGAGGGGGGGGGGGGAGGTGGTTGAGTGGAAATTGAATTGAACACGCCGAGTGTAGTAGTGAAATGAACGCCAACGCATCCCAAACAATATTATCGTAGGTCGTCATCATCTCGGGTCGTTCTACCGTATGTGACTCAGCACTCAGATTCGGGGTTCGGTTCGGCACTGTCATCCGGTTCGTCGTGCTCCTATCTGCCTCCACCTCCACCGTATCGTATGCGAAGCAAGCAGCACAAAATACATCGCAGCTTCAGCGATTCTAAATATTCAATTGGTCAGCAATCTGCTATCGTTCCAATTACGAACGTTCAACGACGTACACGTGGAACAAGATGGAATAGTCAGTGTAGTTTGGTGAGCTGTTAGTTTCACTGCCGATTATTTTATCACCTATTTGACATCGTCTATTGCATGTACAAATTGGGTTTTCTTTATGAATTAACCAATCATTGAAAACGTTTTCTGATGTCGTTGTCACTAAATCGTTGACTGCTGTTGGCTGTGTCAAATTTAACCTGTCAGAGTTCATTTGGATATCTAACCGAACAGCTGGCGAGAAATGTGCAGGGCTGTAGCCGAGAAATGCATTCCTCGCTCTCTGCTACGCAATCAACCTCATTGATGCTTCAAAATGCTTTTCCTCACTTCTTACACTTTTCTCTGTGGATCCGCTCTCGAACATCGACACTGATTTCTCCATAAATTCTTTAATTCTCTATTCTTCAACTCTTTTCTCTTTTTCTTCATTTTTAAAATGTCTGAAAGCGTTCTAACATTAAAAAGTGCACGCATATTTCGTTTTATCGTACACTTCATCTGCATATAAGATTTCGTTGCTTAACGGTTTATCACGTGAAATGTGAGCTGAAGTGATAAACATGCGATTTAGCCTTCTACCATTGGCGTTCGCAAACACATTCTTTCTCATTGTCCTCTGGATGTGTTGGACTTACTGGTATACGCGTTGAAACGTCATCTTTCATCACGTGTCTATTTTTCGAGTTGACTTTTTGTTGCTAACGATAAGACGACGTATTCTGATGATCGTCGACGGTGATTTTCGGTTCTAATGATTTGTCAGATATTCTGATGATGTCAACATGGCAGCACGCAAATCAAAATCGAAGGTAAGCATCACACAGCTCGTATCATCTGTTCACCCACCTCAGGTCGCACACAGGGTGGGCCAGCATCAGGAACTCCCCGCCTGGTCCTCTGGGAAGGGGTCGTACTGGATGGAATTGGCAGAGCATTTTAGGAAGGAGAAGCAGAACTGAGTCACAGTGAAGAGCTTACGGAGGAGTAATTCGATTTTTTTGACTTCCCCAAATGTCGAACTTGGAAAATTTACAAAAATCGAAATTTTTCTCTTGCTTTGTTCCATTTTACGACGCTGTCATAGCCTATATCCTTTATTTCTCAGCCAAGGGACGCCCTCCTCGAGAAGTCGGTATAAGTAGCTAACAAGGAAGGTCTTTCAGGGTGTGCCAAGCTTTTTCAAAACGGTCTTTTGCATGATATAGGAGGCACATGCGGGAACCACAGAACCATGGTTAATTTTTCCTGAACGGCCCTCTGAATACCAGAAAAGGGGGTCCCTAGTCACACCTTTTTCACCAGTTTTTCAATCAAAGTCTATTTGTAAGGGTTACTGACGGTCCTAATCATGAATATGGTACTAATTATTCATGCTAACTCCATTTTGCGCGAATTTTGGAAACGTCAACTCGAAATGCAAAAATTTGTCACCACGAGGAATCGAACTAGGGACCCCTTTTCTGGTATTCAGAGGGCCGTTCAGGAAAAATGAACCATGCTTCTGTGGTCCCCATATGTGCCCCAATGTCATGCAAGAAACCATTTTGAAAAAGCTTGGCACACCCTGAACGACCTCCCTTGTAAGTAAGATAGAGGACTGATGGAGTAGGACCAGAGGACTGATGGAATAGGGCCTAGGAACATGAGTCATCCGCAAGGATCCTAATTGGGGGAGGGGGATGGGAAATCTTCTCGACTTTTGGCTCACCCTGGTCGTACGATCTGGCCTATCTTTCTGAAAGCATGATTCACAATCGTTTCTGTCATTTCCGTCGGCGTTTTTTCTCTTCGATAGCACCGAAATCAGCTTGAGTTTGCCCGATTACGGTAACACTGGATGTTTACCGTATTCTGTAACGAAATCTTTTTGTGCACCGTAATTCACGGCGAGCCGAACCCTCCGCAAAGCCCCGCCCATCGTGCAAATCCCACCCCTTTGCCGGTAAACAAGCTCAACGACGTTTTCTCACTGCTGAACCCCTCATCCTTTAAAGTAAGATAGAGGCTGATGGAGTAGGACCAGAGGACTGATGGATTAGGGCCTAGGAACATGAGTCATCCGCAAGGATCCTAATTGGGGGAGGGGGATGGGAAATCTTCTCGACTTTTGGCTCACCCTGGTCGTACGATCTGGCCTATCTTTCTGAAAGCATGATTCACAAATCGTTTTCTGTCATTTCCGTCGGCGTTTTTTCTCTTCAATAGCACCGAAATCAACTTGAGTTTGCCCGATTACGGTAACACTGGATGTTTACCGTATTTGTAACGAAATCTTTTTGTGCACCAGAAATTCACGGCGAGTCGAACCCTCCGCAAAGCCCCGCCCATCGTGCAAATCCCACCCCTTTGCCGGTAAACAAGCTCAACGACGTTTTCTCATGTAACAATCACATGTTATGTTATAACTGTTCTAAATGTATAGATTAGAATGTGCGAACTATTTTTACGAAAGTGCTGACAGCTGCTCACAATAAGCATGAGCCGAGAAAGCTTGTAAACTTCTAACTGACTCACAAAACTCTATGTTAAGTATGACCTGACTAGAAGAGATTTAAGGCGGAGGATAAGGCACATTTATCCATTAAAAAGAATTGAAGGAGCTTTCTCTCTTCAACAAATACTGACTTTCATTAGAACGCGACTAGCGCTCGCAGTTATACCATTAATAATTCTCCCAAGCAGGTTTCCGTTACTAAAGGCGCAGAGATGCACCAGCAATTGCGCCATAATCGCGCTTCCTTGACTTTTACCGGAGCTGAGATCGAATATCCAAATTTATCTGATGTGATCAGATCTGCTTGTTATTAGAGATCAGCGCATAACAGTGAGCATCATGAGCTTACCCTAGCCCCATTCAGTTGCCTCAACTGCCTGTATTAACTTTTAGACCTATCCTTACACATCATCGTGAAGGTGTTGCTTCTTGTTTGTTGCATGTCGTTTTTGCATGTGGGTGAGCTGGTATGGAAGAGTGAGTGGGAGACATTCACAGGAAGCTGGTAATATATTAATGATTGAGGCTCATCTTCTCTCTATTCAGAGTCCATCCCCTTCTATGTCAACTGTTTCCTGTCCAGAATATCCAGAATTACAAGAGAAGTTGCATCGCCTGGCTATGGCCCGAGATAGTCTTTCATTACAGGTGAGGGTTTCATTCAATCCCAAAATACCCTCTATTTCGGAAGAAAACGGAAAGCGTCGAGTGCAGACCACACACCACAAGTGACGACAGCCAAGGAAAAAGTTGTTCTTTCTTCCTTTTTTGGCCGTCGTAACTTGTGGTGTGTGGTCTGCACTCGGCGCTCTTCCCGTTTTTCGAAGTAGTGGGTATGGGAACACTTCATGAAATCGGTTCTTCAGTCGTACTTTGGTCTATTGATCGGTGCTAGACCTCAAAATACGTCGTTGATAAAATTTTTAGTAACTATGAAAACTTACCATTTTAAAGCAGGCGTACTACTGAGCCTATCGCAACCACACCTTTTCAGTAGTTCGGGTTTTTGTTCATAGGGAAATGGTTGCTTAATCATTTGATATATTACTATGTTTATGCCACTTTGGTGTGAACTGGAGTCCAATTGGTCAGTTAATCTGCGATTTCCGATTTACGCTTTCCTCGTTTTGGGTAGGCATTTTTTTGAGCCGCTTGGCTTGTTTCATTTTCCGTTACTGATTGTTTGATTCATTCTTCTTCTGGCCACTCTATGAAGGAGTTCTCCTCTTATCGATCACTTCTGTTTCTCCGGGCATCGTTGCGTTCTAAATGGCCTAGCAAAGCACACATAAACAGACGAGAGAAGTGAATAGGGAAGAGATCCCGCTTTCCATTTCCTCTGGCACCTGACGAAGTTAAAGGGAGCTGTGTTTAGGCCAGTCGCCGTTATAGACTGAAGACCGGCAATCCCGCGTGCACCTCGTTTTTCGCTTTCCGATTTCCGCTTAGTTCCACTCGCACTTTTTCGGTTCTTTCGCTTTTGTTCGACGGTATTATTTATGTATAGCCAGCCATTAGCGTCTCGCTCTATAGCGCATCTTCCTGTGTTTTTTAGCATACACGTAAGCGACACCGAAGCGGGCAATGGATTCACAGCGCTGTTTGCGATGTGAGAGTGCATGAGAAAATTTCTCGCTTAGAGTGCGTGGGAAAATAGTCACCAAGTCACTGTTTTCAGTGGCCAATGAAATGTGGTGTGCAAAGCCATGACAGACTGTTCTTACCATCAGTCCCTCAGAAATCAGACACACTTTTGGGGGATTCTTCGAAATCTGGCCCTTCCGTCCCCCCATAGGCACCTGATATGGCAAGTTTGTATAAGGATTTTCGGAAACAGAAGAAGCTTTTATTTTGAAATTGCTGACCTCTCTGAGCGATGGTGATACCTATGGATAGATAAAACATAAGCGTTTTGGGTTTTTTTGAGATAGATTTTTGCAATGACTCGGCTTCATGACCTCATCCATCTCACAACTCTCCCTGATCCTCACCTTTTTCCTCAGTTCTCATGGACTATTTATTTATGGTCTTTCGCGGCCCGATTTCTACCAAATCATTCTCTTTTGGTAAGGTTAACATGTGCTACGCTATTAGAAGTTGATTAGTTACTTTCATAAACAAGATTAACTCAGTAATTGAAAAGACGTCGCCAGAGATCAAGCCGTAATCCAGCATTGTAATCCGGTAAGCTCCACTAATGGCGGCAAACTCAATAGGTTCAAAACATGAGAACTTTTTGGTAGCCATTAGCCGTATAGTAGGCAATTCCGCTGGCTAACTCAAAGCGAGAGATTACGATAGTTTGTGTTGGGTTCATAGTGGAAGTGGAGATGCTGAATAATGCCCCAGTGGCGAAAAAAGCAAAGAAATCCGTCAAGAACGCGCAAAATGGGACCCCTTTCTTTGCCCGTTGACCTCCGATAATGGACGAGCTAGCAACCAACTAAGAGGTCGTTTGCACATGTTAACCGATAATCATACCAGCAAAGATCATGCCTTGATTGATAACGCATTCCATGGAAAGTTATAGGATACGCGCTCGAAGTGGAATACCTTATAAAACCAGAATGATAATGATGCTAGCAACACGCTGATGGGCGGAGCACAGGGCGGAGGCGGAGCTCAGAAAGGATTGGCAGCCCCAGGGCGCTGCAACTAGCGCACCTTTGGCCACAAAAAGGCCACATCTCGCTTCCTTTGGCCCCTGACTACTGCTTTCACTGGTGCATGTACTTCCATGCTTGTACATACACTTCATCGTGATCCCTCGCCTTACATGGGGACCGTTAGTAGCTGGCAGAATTGGTATGTTTGAAGGCATGAGGGGAGGATAACCTTTGAGAAGGGAAGTTCCTTGCGAATTCCGCCGCCACATTGACGTTGGTTGGGGAAATCCTGAAACTTAGAGATCTGAGTTCAGTTCGGAAATGCCATCCTCTTTACAATGGGATGAAAATCGATTGGTACAGCGAAAGTGGCTCTTTCGATCCTGGTCTTGCAATTGGCCTGGCTTCCTTAACCCATCCATCTCACCACTTCCTCTATCTTCACAGATGAGGGTGTTCCAAAGTAACAGGCAAGTAATTCCCAAATCGCCATATAGTTGGCTCTGCTTCCAGAGCTTGAGCTGGGCACGCTACTTCACGTGGTCTGGAGTTTTTTGCAGGCTCTTCCAGAGCGCTAATATGTGTAGTAGGGCGAGACTGTTGATTGGACTATTAGTTTTCGGCTGCCCTTTACTGTGTTGTTTTACCGAGGTCCTAGAACAGGTAGAATTTTGTTTCAACTTTCTGTCGATGAAAAATTGTGATCATGCCATTATGAATTTGATTGTAGTTGACTGCCGTGATTTTTGCGACATAGTGATTTTTGAATTTCTATTTAGTTCAGGATCTATCCTCCACTGGGGAATAAAGGGATCTGACATTAACAAAAAAAGAATGAGTTCTCTGATATTCTTGTTTGTCGTCCTCGTTGTAGCGAAGCCTATTCAAAGCGACGAGGCTGTAGTAGGTTCGACCAGTAACTCGGGCTCAGTATCGAATCTTGTGTCATGCTCGCAGCCTCAGCTGGCAGACGCGCCTGTCGCCACTGCACGGTTGATTGATGATCGTGTGAATTCCCATGAAAACGAAATCGTTCGAAAGAGCAATTGACTCAACCACGACACGTCAAGCGTTCATATTTATCCCTGTTATACGAAGGTGGTAAAAATAAGTTTCTAGCCAGATGAAATGCGTGATGTTGCATTGCAGGTTTCGGTTCTAAGCGAGCAGGTGGGAGCTCAAAAGGAGAAGATTCGAGATTTGGAAGCCTTGCTGGCTGCAAAACGGAACAGCCTCACTTCTTCCGAGGAATTGCTCCAAGGAGTGAGTTGAATGAGTTCATATCAATAAATTTAGCTGTGCTATGCCGAAGCAATACTGGGTTATGGAGAATATACCTGAGTTTGGCGTTTTCAGAAATACAACTATGGCGGTGAATGCTCAGACATGGAGTCGAAGAAACTCAATTTAATGGCCGAAGTTTCATGTCTGAAGCTCAAATTCGCCGCCTTAGAACAGGAGAAAAGTGAGGCCGAGAGGAAACTCAAAATGTCGCAGAATGAAATTGACCACGTTAATCAGTCAATTCACGGTAAAGCTGTCCAGAAGCCGTCGCGATCGCAGACCAACGGAGGCAGTGAACGCTCAGCGTATCTGCCGGCACTGCGAGAGAATCGGCTCGAGAAGCAAGGTGAGTATTCGTTTGGCCCCTTTGAAATTGTTATCGGTATGTTAAGGCGTCGTCAGCAATGTGTTTTTCAATAAAAACAAACTTTCTCAAGTAGTCATGGAATGCCTTTATCCCACGGGTCCGCCCTTCTCGCAAACACCGCCCCTTTGTGGGAAATGCCAAATAAATCCTCCCCAAATTGTGATGGGGGCGGAAGTGGTGTAGTGGCAAGTGGCACGCTTACCACGCGAGCGGTCCGGGGATCAAATCCTGGGTCGGCCAACCAAGCCTTCCATCCCTCCGGGGTCGGTTAATTGGTACCAGACTTGTCTGGGAGGATAAAAACACTGACTTGTACATCGGCTGGCCCCCGCAAGTCATTGTATAGGCCACATCGCATTCAAACGCCACTACGAATGTACAAATGGAAGTAGAATGCGTGCCGCATCCCAAAAAGGGATTGATCAACGGCAAATGCTTTATCCTTTATCTTTATATATCGTGATGGAATAAATCGGTTTACACTAGTGAGAAAGAAGACAGCGAGCCTAAGCTATAGAAAAATTCTAGAATGTATGCCATCCGGCAACTTCCAATTTTTCAATAAACCTTTCCATTCCGAGCGATACAAGGGATTACGTAATGAATGCAACGAAACCTACGCTTAAGTGGTCTTTCCAACCCAAATTCTTGAATATTCTTGACCGATGTTCGTGAAGTAAAGCTACACTACGATACCTCCATCAATTCAGATGAAGAGCTGGAGCAGTTACGACATACGGTACAACGTTTGTTGGCTGATAATGAGCAAAAGAATCACCAAATCAAAAGCCTTCGTGATGCCTTAGAACTTCGTTCCAGAGTGAGTTACTTGTCCTCGATAAATTTATGACTCTACTATATCCTCGAAATCTATCTCACATTTTCATCGTTCTCTAGTTTCAGTCTCAACAGGAGGAGTACTACGTGGTACCTCGCTATGAACAAACGTCCTCCTACGATTTGAACTCACAAATACGTCGACTACTTCTGGTGAGTTGTTAGCGGTTTTCAAACCTATATTATGCGGGTACCTTAGTTAGAACAAGCCCATTAGAACATAGTCCGGTTCCCAGATAGCGAGGTATTGCCGATTCTACCGCATGGCAAGATCGCCGTACGAGTGTGTCTGCGTATTGCTCGCCCTTTTGTTCTCTCGCGTCACATCCAGCGTTCCTTCTTGCAATGCTTATTTTCTCCCTTCTGCCATGGAGAAGAGTCTTCATTTTTTTCCTTGGCAAACTGCTGATATGGCCGCAGGTTGCCATGCGAAAGTTACCGCAGAGATACTGAAATGTGGGCATAACACTTCGCCCCAGCCTGCACTCTAACTCGCACTTCTCGATTGCCGGGCACATTGGGGGTTCAAGTACCGTTAGGAGCGAAATGTCTGACTAACAGCCAGCATCTTTGTGCTATTTAGCATCCGGTGTTTTGGGAATTTCTTTTCCCTTTTGTTTCACAAGCGGTGCACTTCACATATCTTCTTTCATTTTGGAACATTAAAATCGCACTTGCACAAATGCGGAATGTGTTTTTATTAAGCCTTGAATGCAACTTTAGTGTATCAACCTATGTTTAGGAAGAACCTCCGGAGCCCATGACTCACTCGACGTCATATCCCGTACGTCTCTGCTCATCGCCTTACAATCGGGGGACAATACAGGTACAAGTTTAATTGCCCTGGAACTGCCAGAGGCCGGTGAGGAGAGAGAGACTAGGGGCTGTCAGTGCTAACTCCAGAGAAGTGGTTAGGGTACTCGACAGGACTCCCTTCGCGCGGCAGGAAGGCAGGGTCGGCGGACGAGTCGCTGCGCGTGATGGGTATAGAACATACAATGGCACATTCTACACTTGACGCGAATCTACCTTCTTGCTGCGCGATGCTTCCTATCGGGCGCCCAAATGATTGCGATCACCACTGATTGCCCAGGTACGCATGTAGGCTAAGTGGGTATCCGACAGGATGCCCGTCGCGTGGCGAAAAGGTAGTGTAGCAGACGAGTCAGTGGACGAGTCACAGCGCTGTTGTGCGATGTGGGACGTACTACATGAAGTGGATTCTATTTAACTTGACGCTAAATCGCTACAGAACGTGCTGCAACTCGTCCGCTGATCCGTCTGCCCCTCTGCCTTCTTGCCACGCTGCGAGCCTTCTGTCGGGTACCCAGGCAGGACCCAATCCTTGCTGCCTTTTCTCAGCTTATTGTACTATGTGTTTGCACCTGGTCTACATTTAAATCGAAAGAAATGAGGACCCCGAAAGAAGAAGTTTATATTAAGAGCTCATCGAAACTGAGTGAAAGGAGTCACCACTGGAAGCACCCGTTGAATACATCCCTTTGAAAAAGACGTTCGACAAAAATGCAGCATGACACTGCGGGCAGCCCGCGATTCAAGGAGATTTTCTGCCCATTTTTCACATTTCCACCGACTCTTAAGTCGGAACTTGCACCCGCTCAATAATATTCGAGCCACTTCACATTAAAGCTTTGAATCTTTTGAAAACTACTGAAGCTTCCCAACGTGTCTTGCAAAGTAAAACGCAAGCTACCTCTCCGAGAAGCTAGCAACCTCATTTGCTCGTCGCCTTTTTAGCTATGATTCCAACTTCTTTAGAACTTCCTTCTGGACATTTTTTCTTCATGGCTACCGATTAGACTTTCCAACACAACACTAACAGGGTCGCCAACAGAAAGTGTTGGGGGCTCATTTCCTCAATCTGCGGTGCGCCCAGTGATTCACTTCACTCAGGATTGCCTTTCTTTCATTTGAAGATGATTCACACTGAACCCTCAGCTCCAAACACGATCGGACATCGTATGTTCCCGTTGGCTTCTCGTAGCTCCTTTGATTGACCATCCAGCATATTTACCGGTGATGTGGACTGTGTGTAGTATTATCACAGGTCTACAAGCGGCAGTAGCCTAGCTTTAGGTTTTTGGGAGTTTGGACAGTTGAAGTCTAATCTCCCTCATCGATCCTCCTGAATCGCTGGCAGAATACAAGCGGGGCTTTGTGCTCGGAAGTAACACCCAAGTATGTCCAAGTATGTCGAATAGCCCGAAAAAAAAACTGATTCTCTTGTGAAATAATCACCGCATTTGGGTCATTGATTGACGTATAACCTTTTTACAAAAAAAATGAAAAGATCAATGTACTGAAGGCCAACAAGGAGTACTGATTTCTTTTCAGCCTTCGTCGTCGTTTACTTCTTCACTCTCAACTGCCTCATCGTATCATAGCTGGTCGCAAGGGGCAAATCGCCACTTATATCCAACTATACCTGGACCAAGAAGTGAACGAAGGTGGGCCCATGCTTACTGCTGGATCAAATAGATTTCTTGGGAAGGCTACTGCTAACCAGTGCTATTGGCGATTATCCAGGGCTTTATACAGAACAGGTAATATGCTCATGTACTCCCATAATCAAGTGGATGCAATGAATATAACAGTGCCCAAGGGGGTTGAAACAGTCTCCAGGAAGTAATGAATATCGTAGTGGTTTTTGTTGGAATCTGAAAAGAAGCTTCTTCCGAATATTTGAACAGATCCTTCAGTCAGATTTTGTGGCATGGATTCATGACTATTGCTCATAAAAACTCTGGTTTATTTTCTTTACTAGAGCGGAAAATTACTTTACTGTAACCGCCTTCCTTCGCCACAGGCGGGGCAAGGACAGGGGTATTTATTCAGTTCAAGTCATCAGATTATTTCAGCTGCCGATCTCCGTCATCGCCTGCTGCTCGTCAACTTGCTGCCGAATTGGACGAATTGCGTCGATTAGGTAATGAAACGCAAGGGAATCAAATTTATTCAACGGCGAGCTTACCACGAGGAATGGGTCATAAGGTTCGTTGGAAACATTACGATGACACTTTCAAATCAGAAATGCCACTTACGAATCAGCAACTTCTAGGCATCGTCAACTTTGGCGCTTCCTACAAAAAAGTACTCGATGACAACGGGAGGATCGGCTGGTGAGCTCACCCTTTTATACGAGCAATTGTCGCTTTTTCTAAATATGTGCAATTTTCAGTGGAATCAGATGACGAAGTCGCCAGAGGTGGAAGAGGTACTGCCACATCATCACGTGCTTCCGATGAAAAGCCTCTTAAACGAGATCGAACACGATCTTCCATACGAAATCTGTTCATGAAGTTAACTCGAAGTACATCGCAAGATCAGAATGGTGGTACGATGCTCAAAAAAGGA